ATGGATCCGGCTTTTTGTATAAGTTGATTGGTCTTTTGACCTACTATTAAATTATTAGAATATTATCTAACATTAATTTTAGAGAGAAAAAAAATCTGGAATTGATTGGTTTTAAAGTTTCACTCCCACAGGCTTACATTGTCATTTCGGTGTAAACAAGAAATAAATTACCTTACAAAAATACTGAAAATTTGGACAGAAATAGCAATATGGTATTTAATGTAAAGGTGCAACAATATATCCTATAAACAACTATTAAGGGAAAATAACAATTCAATGTTAATTTAAAAAAAAAAAAAATTCAAATCAATGATAAAATTTATTTCAAAGTGTTTTATCAATGAAAATTAAGTTTTTTTTATTTATTTAATGTTTTAATAATATCTTAACAATTTAGAGATAAATAATTTTTTTACATATGAATAAATAAGTAGGACAAATTGCCATACAAAAAAAACCATTGTTTCAACTTAAAAAAAGAAAAGAAAAGAAAAAACAAATTTAAATAATAAATGCATTAATTAAAATTGATAATTTTTTCATTGTTTATATAGTGTGAAATAAGTGTTATATGTATTATATGATTAGGGTCTTATATTAAATTATTAATGTATTACATTAAAATATGTATAAGTTTTTAATAATATATATGCAAAATCTCCGAGGAGGTGAATGGAATTTTTTATTTAAATAGCTTATTAGTTTATTTGATAGTTTTCATCTTCCCGTTCAATTCAAAGGGATAATATGGCCATTTTGGATAGTCAATAAACGCCATTTGTGCTAAATTAACGGAGTGGAGGAATCTTAATATTGTTAGCAAAAGTAGGAGAAATTTTTATAATTATTGAAATCACAGGAGAAGTTCTTATATATGCCAGAAATCTCAAAAGAAGTAAGTGTAATTTACTGTAATATTTATATGGGTATATGATTTATATCACATGAGACCCATCCCATGATACACAATATTTACATGCTGTGCGACTCACACAATATTGAATCCACATTCATTGTGTTGTGTAAAATTTTAATATTTTTTAAAAATTACATTTATTGTGTTGTGTAAAATTTTAATATTTTTTAAAAATTTCTAATATTTCACTTTTAGTTTAATATTTAAGGTCCCTCCAAACAATGTTCTTGTGTTTGATAAATGAAATTCCCATTTTGAGTGGTATCTTCTATTTTTAACCGAAGTTATTCCTGCTACCGGCAGGGGTGGTGGTTGGTTGGTGTGTCGGTTTTGGGAGGTAATGAGCCCATTAAATGTTGGGACTGGTAGTACTAATGAGCAATGGGGTGATAACATTATTGGAGTGGTTGAAACAAAGGAATGGATGAAAATCTATTTTCAAAGTAAAGTCATTTTTCACAATTTGCCAAAAAACAAAAATTAACACTAATTTTTTTTTTCTTTTGTCATTTAATTTTTTTTTTTTGTAAAAATTAATAAAAAAACATAAACATAAATAGTAGCAAATATGCTTTCATTTTTATTTAATAGTTTAAATAATGGATGTGTATAGTGTCTCAAAAACAACATCATTTTAGGGAAAAAAAAAAAAACTTGATAAACACCCCTTTCAACGGTTGCAACCCTACCCCATCGTCATCCAACGAAAACACGTACCCCCATTATGATTTTAATCTGACTACCGAGTCTCGATCCGTACTACTACGATGACAAACATGGAAACGCATCAAAAGCCCTAGAAAATGGTGATGAAGATCATGGATGAGAAGGCAATATCAAACTCAGATCACCAGAGAGTAATTCATCGCAAGATTCAGAATCTTTCATTGGAGTCAAGGTCCGCAGAGTGGTTCAAGATTACAGGGGTGAGTCTATCGACGTCCCTTCGCATCCCTATCTCATGAATATTCTCCAAATTCAAAAGGTAATTCTTAAATCAACATTGCAGTCAACCTTGCTTGTTTTGGTTTGATTTCAATTTTTTTTTTTTTTTTGATGGATGAAGTTTAGAAATTTGAGGATGTTAGAATGAGATGGAATGAAATGATGATTATGTAGATTATTTCTTAAATTTTGAAAAATAATTTTATTTATAATGAATTTATTATTATTTCCAAATATAGAAATAAATATTTTGATGATACCCACTTAATACTTTTGAACCAAACATAAAGAAGACAAGGGGGAAGGGAAAAGAAGATTTTATTTTATTTACTCCATCCGTCTCAAACTATTAGTTTATTTTCAAAATATTAATCTCTTATTATATTTTTCACTGTCTTAAAATATTAGTCACTTTTCAAAAATTAAGGACTAAAATAATGAGTTTTTTATTTTGTCATTTTTTTAAATTCATTAATAACACAAAAAGTACAATTATGATAATTGATATTGTCAAAAAAATATACTATCAAAGAGTAATTTTAAAAAATTAATATTTTTAAAATGTAATAATTATACTATAAAAAATAATTTAGATTTCTCAAAAAGAAACTATTATTTATTTTGGCAAGAAGTATTTGTTTTTTTTCTCCAAAAGGACGTGGTTTTGGGATAGTCAAACCGCGTGCCCCTACTGGGAAGAATCAACGGCCCGCCCTTCTGTCCATGGCAGACGACTTGGTTACGGCTCAATTGCCAAGTCAACCGCTAATGCCATCCTCATTGTTAGCTTATTCTACAGCCACCACCATGCGTCCTGTAATGAAGGATAACGGAGCATACACCACCACCACCACTGCCGCCGTGATATTTTCTTATAATTTTCATTCAAATTTTACACAACCATCTACCATTTTCATCATCTTTGGCCTATTGCTGTTGTTGGGTCCTTTAATATTTTGTCTTGCAGCTGCAGCTACAACTGCAAGGGATACTATAACAACAGGCAATCCAATTCATGATATCTATGGCGAAACTCTCATCTCACCTGGCAACAAATTCCAACTTGGTTTCTTTTCCACTATGGGAGAATCCGGCTACGTAGCCAGATACATAGGAATATGGTATTACATGTTGAACCCATCGACAATTGTGTGGGTTGCCAACCGTGACAGCCCGCTATTCAGTACAACTGGCGTTTTCACCATTGCAGAATGTTAAGATTGAAATGTATTATTGATGTTGTGTATTACAAGATTGTTGTGTATATTGATATCTTTGTTATGTTTACAATGATCAAATATATAGAAGAGAAGAAGGTAGTAGGTGAAGTGGTAGGGGATGAAGTGGAGGTGGTAGTGGTAGGTTAGGTGAGGAGGTGAGTGTGTGTGGTAGGTAGTAGTGGGTTAGGTTTAGTGGGTTTAACACAGAAGATGATGGCAACCTCGACCTCAAGGTCATGGACGGAAATTCCATTTATTTCAGTACAGGTCTTACAATCTCAGCATCTTTGTCCAATAGGACAACAGTAAAGCTCTTGGACTCTGGGAACTTGGTTTTGAGCGATGATCTATCGGGGAAGGTACTATGGCAGAGTTTTGATCATCCAACCGATACCTTCCTTCCCGGTATGATGATGGACGATAATCTAAATTTGACTTCATGGAAAAGGGGCAACGACCCGGCAAGCGGAAATTTTACTTTCGGGAAAGATCAATCAAATAATTACATCATTTGGCAAAGAAGCAAGATGTACTGGAGAAGTGGAGGGTCTGGTATCTTTAACAGTTCCGATCAGAAATTGCTATACAAAATAGCCCCACTGTTATCAAATTCTAGCAATGGTAAGAACAGAACAGATTATGGTAAGAGTTTAACTGTCTCACCAGTTTTAATAGACAATATTACGAGGTTGGTGATGAGTTTTTCCGGGGAACTACAGCTTTTCAATTGGGATAATGGACAGTGGTCTTTGATATGGTCAGAACCGCGAGACAAGTGCAGTGTGTATAATGCTTGTGGGGATTTTGGAAGCTGTAATAGTGAGAATAGTGGAGTGAAGTACTGTAAGTGTTTGCCGGGTTTTGATCCGAACTCACCAGATGAATGGAATTCTGGTGAATTTTCAAGCGGGTGTACTAGGAAGACAACTATGTGCTTGACGGATAAGAAGTACACATTCTTGAAGTTGAAGATGATGAAAGTGGAAGATCCAGACTCATCATTTGAGGCGAAAAGTGAGCAGGATTGCGAAAGCGAGTGTGGGAGATTGCAATTGCCAGGCGTATTCTTATATCGCATCATCTGCGCAAAGAGTCACTAGTACAAACTCATCTGGGTGCAGAATTTGGACCTCCAATCTAAGAAATCTTCACGAGGATACGGAAGGTGCTCATAACCTATCAGTCCGTGTAGCCCGTACAGATATAGGTACTTTACTTTCTTCCCTTCCAGACAAAAAATGGGTGCCCCTCTATGCATTTAAATTTGATATGAGTATCTTAAATTCATATCAAATTTTGTACACTTTTTAATATATATATATATTTTAAATAAAAATTCGTAACATCATGACATTACTGTATAACATTACTGGCAAACATATAGACTAGATCTACTCTTGCTAAACATGCCCGATTCAATCTTAACCAAACAATTTATCCTTCTAACTAATTAGGCTAATTCAATTTGGCCACACCTTAACTGATGGGCCAAGATCAATCCTTTGTTGCTGTTCGGCTTGCGGGCTTGTATTGTTGGGCTTTCTTACAGAGCACTGATGATTTGGACAAATGGCCCTGTTTCATGGGGCAATAATAGACCTATGTATCAGAATTGAGTTAAATTGTTACAGCTCAGACACTATCGACCTATCTTTTGGCCTATAAATGATTTTTCTTCTTAAATAGTTGATTGTCGACTTTGAGATTATAGGGACAGGCTATGTTTGGATTGAGTGATTTGGAGGGAAAAGAAAAGAAATAGAGAGATATGCATTTCTCTTACTTGTTTGGATAATTTAAGTGGAGAGAAATGGAAAGAAATTGAGAGAAATGGAAAGAAACTCATTTATTTATAAGCCTCATTTTCAATCTTCCCAAAAGTGGAGAGATTGGGAGAGAAAAGAAACCACTATTTTCATAATACCAATTTTGTCCCTATAAAAATAAAAGAAATAAAATGATTGAAAATATAAAAAGTCTATTTTGGTAATATAACATAAAATAATTTCTTTTCTTTTCTCTTAATGAAATATAACCAAACAAGAATGAGAGAAATCATAATCATTTCTTTTCTTTTATTTCTTCCTTATCCAAACAAAAATGAGAGAAATCACAATCATTTCTTTTCTTTTCTTTTCTTTTTTCTTATTACTTAAGTAATCATTTCTTTTTTTTTTCTTTCCTAAGTTCCCAAACACAGTGAAAGTTTCGTATTCCCTATCTAAAATAAGGTAGGAGAGGTTATTTACAATAATGATAGTGCCACATCATTCTTATTAACTTTTTTGTATGACTTTTATGTAATAATAGAATTTATCAAATCATGAAGGTGTGTGATCTATACCATAAAACAATGATGGGAATTTAAACCAAAAGTGATTGTTAAATAACTGACAATTGATAGTTATTTGTGACTATTATAACAATTATTATCTTCTTCTAATAGTCAGCCATATTTGTTCAATTACAACTCTTTATTTTAATAAATTTTTCATTCTGAGGCAATAAATTTTTTTTATTATGATTACTATTATTATATTCATTTATATTTTTTGAGTTTAATTTATTCAGAAAATTCTCGATGTCATTGCAAAATAATTTCAGTCGAATTAATTGTTGAACGATTGTTTCACTTGACTGGACAATCAAACTATGGTCAAGTACAAGTAACAGTAAGGGGCTGACCATGTAAATTGATGACTAGATTTGCCTTTAGAATCCCCAAACCATCAATAACAGAAAATCTAATATTGTTGGTCCTTGCATTAATTAGCTGATTAAACATTCACCATATATTTCAATTTTGTTTGAGGAATCGATGGCTGACTGATAATATTCAAATATAGATGTATCCTTGTGTCGCCTTACAAGCTGCAAGAAACCATGGTGCTATATACAATGTTACATATGAACAATGTGCACAACGATGATTTTATGTTATATATTGACCACGTTATATGTCATATGCTAAGTATTTGTATTTGTCAAAGACTACTATATATGCATCTTACTTTTTCTCAATAGCAGAAATCGGATTGTTGATTTTGAACTCCTATTGTATTTATTCGCTTCTAGCTGCCTATGCTGAAGTGGGACAAGGACTTTTTTCAAAATCCAACTTTTTTCATAACATAATTTGATTTATCTTATTATTAGCCTTCCTTACAGATATGAATATAAAAAAAAAAAAAAAAAAAAAAAAAAAAAAAAAAAAACTCATTTTCGACATATCAACAAACATGCAATTTGACATTTTTAGCTTATATATAGATACATTTGATGTAAAGTCTGGTATTTTTTGTAACATTGATCAGATATATAGTTGAACTACTTGACTATCAGTTAGTTTCTTTTTGAATTTTTTTAGAAAACTCTTTTTGAAGAAATTTGGGTTACATACAAATATGGTAGGAACACATCTTGTGATTAGCTACTCGTTACGGCCGTTATAGCGGTGTGACAGAAATTCACGACCATAACAACCACTACCGTTATGTAAAGGCCATAACCGTTAGATTGCCGCTGGCTGTTATGACTGTTATGCTTCTCTTTCTTTCTTTTTTTAATATAAATTTTGTATGTATTGCTATTTTTCTCTTTTTATTTTCTAGTTACATAGAAGTTAGTAAAAATCTTATCTATACATGTTTTGAATGTCCAATCTTCAAATTCTACAAGATTTCATTACTTTTTTAACTTAATTGTATTTGAATATGAACTTATATCTATTTATCCCCCCCCCCCCCAAAAAAAAAGAAGAAAAACTTATATGATATATCTATTTCTGTTGTATTAAATTTATTTTACATTATTAAATTGACATTTTGTATTTTGAACCTTTGTTTATGAGAATATTATATACTTCATTTTTTTTTCTTAACAAATCGGAGAAGTTGTCCACAATTATAATTAGTAAAGTAAAAAAAAATTAAATAAATCCAACAATAAGAAAATTTTCCATAGCAACTTAAACCTAATATAAAAATTAGTATATATTTTGGATCATGTTTTAAAACGAAACAAAAATACTAAAAATCATTTTCAACCTCACTAAATGTGATTCTGAAATTAAAAAAAATGCATATCGGTATGTTTTCTTAAAGTTGAGCGAATAATTAAAAAAAATTCACAATTCCAGTTACCACCAACGTTGTGCTACAGCCGTTACATCCTGTAACCGCGTCAGCTTTACCACTACCATTACGGTAACCACCACCATTATTTAAAACCTTGGCTACAATTATTGTTGATATATACTTGCCATCTAATTTTAGTTGATTTGTCCACTAGTTTTTATTCTTATTGTTGATTTTTACATATATATGTTCCTTATGTTAGTTAAAAAAGATGTAATGTAACTGATAAATGTGCCTAGAATAAAAGTATAAACGCATCACATTGTAGTTAAACATGATCTTGAAACTTCAGTGGTAGCTCTTTTTTTGACATATAAGACAATCCACTCTTGTAGGATCAATAAGCAAAAGTTGTGAGACTTGTGGCACGAACATAATTCCCTATCCGCTAAGCACAGGACCAAATTGTGGTGATCCCATGTACTTCAATTTCTTCTGCAACTTCTCAACTGGCCAAGTTAGCTTCCGGACTTTAGGAGACAACTTTCAGGTCAACGACTTTCAGGTCAAAAACATCAATCCAAAAACACGCAAGTTTGTCATTGAAGTGAAAGATAAAGATTGTGGTGCTAGAAATTCAAAATATCTACAGCTTAGTCCAGCATCCCCTTTTCAGGCGCTTAACTTGTGCTATGGTCAAAAGCAATCAAGAAATGGAAATGAAGTAGAGTTTGTTTGGAATTCCCCACTTGAGCCACCTTGTACTTCAGCCATAGATTGCAAGGATTGGCCTAATTCAAGTTGCAATGCGACAAGTGGTGGTAAAGGTTGGTGTCATTGCAATGCAAACTATCAATGGAATGGGACAACAATAGCTTGTACACAAGGTGAGGATGCTATATAATGCATATATTTTATCATTTTTCTTAAGTACTAGACTTTTCCCATTGGCTAGAGGAATGAATGAAACTACTAGTCATATGTGCTGATAATTGATTTATCAACTGTAAACGTTGCCTCTTATGTTGCTTGTTTGGTATCTATATTGTTGATCAGATAGATGCAAATTCTGTGCCTTTTCATATCTAAGAGAGCCATCTTCTCTCTCTTTCTGTCTCTTGCTCACTTTCTTTTTTTCTTTTTTTTTGGTTTTTTTTTAGTGGGCAATAACCCTAGGCAATTTGGAGGATCTGGGCAATTCAGAAGCTCTGAGAAGAAACACAAGTCAATTTCTTTGAAAACCAGAGTAATTTTCATAGTTGTGTTTTTCATATTTGTGCTATTATGCATCATTAGCTTGATTTTCTGTGGAAGAAGAATGACAGCAAGAAGACGAGGTAATTAATTAGTCAGCCCTATAATGTGCATTGATTATTTTTTTTTTCTTTTACTATTATTCTGTATCTTGAAAATATTAATGATAATTTCACTGTTCCATTCCATGTTAGAATTTTCTATAACTAAGTTGTATATTTATCTTCAACATCAGAAAGCAGAGAAAGAAGAGAGGGAAATCAAGCGATTCAAATGTATGACATGGAAAGAAGTGTAAAAAGCTTCTTAGATTCGAGTGAATTCAAAGAGGGTGATAAAAAAGGCATTGATGTACCTGTTTTTAACTTAGAAAGCATATTAGAAGCTACAAATTACTTCTCAGATGAAAATAAGCTCGGACAAGGGGGATTTGGGCCTGTTTACAAGGTTATAGTCCTTTCCTAATTACTCATTGAAGTTCATTAACAAGTAGTTTCTGCTTTAATGACACAATAGTTGTCTAAAAATATGCTTGTAGGGTAAATTCCCTGGAGAACAAGAAATCGCTATAAAGAGGTTGTCAACTCATTCAGGACAAGGCTTAGAAGAATTTAAGAACGAGGTTGTCTTGATTGCCAAACTTCAACACAGGAATCTTGTCAGGCTTTTGGGCTACTGCATCAAAGGCGATGAAACGATTTTACTTTATGAGTATATGCCAAACAAAAGCTTAGACACATTCGTATTTGGTTAGCTTCTATAACCAAATTCCTCAAATGCTAGTTCTACATTTACTATATAGTTTTCGTGCCACGTGCAAAGCATGTGCTTCTTCACTAATATACATGAAACATGGTAGTCTAAATGTGCTTCTTCTTTTTCTTTATTTATTTATTTATTTATTTATTTATTTTTAATGGACCATTTCCAAGATCAAACATTGTGCTTGTCTTTGGATTGGGAGAAACGCTTTGGTATCATTTTGGGGATTGCTCGTGGGCTTCTTTATCTTCACCAAGACTCCAGGTTGAGGATAATCCATAGAGATTTGAAAACAAGCAATATTCTTTTAGACGAAGAGATGAATCCCAAAATTTCAGACTTCGGTTTAGCAAGGATAGTTAAGGGCAAAGAAACAGAGGCGAACACAAAGAGAATTGTTGGAACATAGTAAGTATAGTATGATTGAAGGTATCATCATCAAACTAAGATTGCCATGTTTTTAGGGATGCAAATTTCAAGTCATTCATTCTTTGTCTAATGAGTCCTATCCTACTAATATTAACTTAAGTTTAGAATTTTGCATAATAATGTAGTGGCTATATGTCTCCCGAATATGCATTAGATGGATTGTTCTCAGTAAAGTCTGACGTCTTCAGCTTCGGAGTAATTGTGCTCGAAATTGTCAGTGGGAAAAGGAACACAGGATTTTATCAGTCTAAAGAAGCCCTGAACCTTTTAGGTTATGTAAGTGCTAAAATTTGTTTGACCAAAACATATAATCTTATGTCTATTGGTTTACTCGAAATGTTTTGATTGGATGATTTATCATTTCAGGCTTGGAGATTGTGGAATGAGGAGAAGGCATTGGATTTGATGGATCGGACACTAGTCGAATCTTGCAATAGAGGTGAAGTTTTAAAATGCATAAATGTTGGGTTCTTGTGTGTACAAGAAGATCCTAGTGATCGTCCAAACATGTCAAATGTACTTTCCATGCTCACTAGTGAAGTTGCAACTCCTCTTCCAAATCCTAAAGAGCCAGCTTTTGTTGCAAAGAAATGGATTTCTTCTGGACCTTCTTCTTCCTTTGACAAACCCGAAACATCCTCTTCTAATAATGAGTTGACAGTTTCTACAGAACTCGGCCGATAAATAAGATAGTATTTTCATGAATCTTTACTTCTACATTTCTGATAGTAATTTAGGTGCGATAAGTTTGTGTAATGTTAATTTTAGGGTAAATTACTAATATGTCCTATTTTTGAGACATATTACTCCATGTTTTGTGATTCTATTTTTCTGTAAATTTATTTTTATTTTTATAGTAAATTAGACTCACCTCTGTGTAGTTTGGAAAAAAAAAAAAAAAGGTTTAAAAAAAAAAAAAAAAAAAAACAACAACAACAACAAAGTTAGTCTTACTCTTTTCATATATAATTACACTAACTTTTCTTTTAATATTACTAAAGCAATCGAAACTAATTCAGAATGTGTATAAATGTTGAAATAACTACAAATTAATCTATATTTTAGTAGAAAAGAGATAACAACATTATTATTTTTTTAATATGATTAATGACTTATAAATAAAAAAAATTAGTCTAATTGTTATTTGAATTAAAATCTTAAGAGAAATCAACATAATTATGATAGAAGTGTAAGATTTTTTGAGGGGATGATCGGGTGTTCGGATAAACTATGACGAATCTCAAAACCTATGCAAAGTGTCTCTTTCACGAGGGTCGGGCAAAAGTGTGGGATTGATAATATTTTTTCCATTGGTTGTGTTTTCCTCCAATCTCGACAGGCCTTGTTTCAATAATTTAAATCCTTTATTTTGTGGGAGATTCTATTTGCACACAAATATAAATTCAGTATGCCTAACTAAAATTTTAAAACTTTAATTTCTATTATATCTTAATGTAAATTTACTAATAAAGATAATATACATTAAATCTTAAAATAAAATATTATTTTTTTATCATAATCACGCATCTATCCAAAATGCGGCGGATCGGTTCGATTCAGTCGGTTGTGACGGATTAGTATACCTGTTGCTCACCTTTACCAAAAAGTGTCAAAACTTAGAAAAAAAAATATAAAAAAGAATCTTCAATGACATTAGTTTTTTGAACAAAATATAAACCAAAATCTTTTCCAAAAAATAAGCACCTCTTTCTCAACAATACAATTCTAAAACTTCAATCAGTGATCACAAATTCCAACTCCTCTCAAAAACTCAAAATTTCAAAAAACAACAGAAGAGCTTTCGAAAGGAAGATATGAGACTGTACGAACACGAAATAATCTTGTTGACCAAGTTTGCACTCCTCCAAATGTCGTCGCTTTGCTATCTAAAAACACAAATGTGAGTTGGTCAGCAAGTGTGCGCCGGATGCCTAAGTCATCAAATAGATAGTAGACACAAATGTCCTGTGTATTTGAGAGTAAGAATTGCAATGCATGTGCATAGGTTATGTCATGAGCTTTTATAGATTCTACTTGACACGATCCTAATAGGACTCTAACTCTCCTTAGTAGAGTCCTCTTAGGAATCCCATGCCCAAGGATAATGTCTATCCTAATAACACCCTACTCATTGCCAACCAAGTGAGATGGTCAAAACCCTATACTCTGGCTGTCACCACAGCCTACCGAGCTATCTCGGCTCTGTGCATAACATGGCAGAGCTGTGATGTTCCTAGCTACAGGACTGCAACCTACCGAATTACACACAGCTCGGCCCTCTTTACGACTAACACCTTAGTCCGCCAAAGGACTTCCTTCATTTAGCTAGGTCCTAGCCCGAACAAAATCTCTAATCGGGATAGAATTCACTAAGCCCAAGATCAGGCTATTCAAACTCCTATCTCGGCCCATTGCGCCACTCCACGCCTAGCTCGGTCCAATTTACACACAAATTACCCTTTCAATTGCCTCTTAATTCCATCTGCGTAACATGTTTGGGATTATTTATTTTTCGGCCGAGCAGTGAAAGTTCAAATCAACCGAACCCAAACCACTTCTAATCGAGCTAAAATACTTAGGTTAACCGAGCTAAAATAATCAGACTAACTGAGCTAAAATTTGCTCGATTTCCATAAGTTGCGCCAGTCATACAACCCCTCTTCCCACGCTTTTGACATTGTGTCCTTATTGGGACACGTGGCACGCGTTGATTGCCCATTCTCACTGTGACAACCGTCACACACTGCCTAAAAATTTGAAAAGTCCCGCCATTTTGCCTCAATTACACATATAATGCTTGTACGTTTGAACAGTCACACATTGTTCATCTTTTTCTAGCCTCTCTGCAACTTAAACCTCAGATTCCCAATTCCCTGAGTTCGAGCCCCAATCCATGAAGCATTTGTAACCGTTTGCTAGAGCACCAGCTGTTTGGTTGGAATCAGATTTTCTTGCCCTAAATCCGTAAGTTTTCATGCCCATTCTAAGCATGTTTTTTATGTTCTTCTCAATTTGTTCTTTATGTTTTCTGGCTTTTCCGAATAGCTAAACTATAACAACCCTGACACATGATTAACGTATAATACATGATTAAGCATTCCTAATAAGTAATCAGGATGAAATCCTGAGTTAATTACATGTGCACTGAATTATTTGTGTTTCTATCTATCCCTCATAGGAATATCTGTTTGCATTTTTGTTTCGTTTTGTGATTTGAAGGCCTTATCGGCATCCGATCGCGAAATTGATTCGGTATATGTGTTATTTGGAATTTTTATAACTCCTTGATAGGTTTAATTGAAATTCGATTCGGAGCGAATTAAATTAAAATAATTAATGCTCATTTGCTTAGTTGAATTAATTAGCCACCAGTAATGAAGCCTATATAAGGCTCCTTATGTGCGCCCACTCATTCCTTTCCTCATTTCAACACAGCTTTGAGCTTATACACACACAAAACGTGAGAGAGGGAGAAAAAGGAGAAGATTGAGCTCAACTAAAGGATTTGCTAGGAAGAAGAAGAATTGAACTTAGAGATTCAAGAATTAAGTCTCTAGCTCTCATCTTGGGAAGTCTAGGTAAGAATTCAACCCTTCGATTGTATAATATGGATGCATAAACCATGAATTCAAGAGAATTGAGAGGATTACATAAAAATTAAGCTAGAATTGGAGAAATGAACTAAAACCATGCATACATGTATATTTCATAGCATTTTGAAGTTACTTTCCGAAGAATTTCCTCATGCGTGTTACTAATTCACCTTAGTTTTGGGAATTCATCAAGTTTCATGTCATTTTGTCATTAGATCATGTTTTTGAAGTTTTGAAGTCAAGGCAATATATGCATATTATGTTTTCTAAGAATTGAGTTTTGTTTTGCACAATTGGTGAGTTTTTGGGCTTTGATTTTGCGAAATGACTTAGAATTCCAAATGTTTTCCAAGTTCACATATGATTCCTCAAGTGTTTGGCCCAAAAGGATGAGTTTTGGAGTATTTGATTTGAGTTTGGAAGCTTGGAGGTGAATCTGGAAATTCTAGAATTTGACCCCTCCGCTCGAGCAACAGATCCTGTGCTCGAGTGGCCACCTTTGTTTTTTGCATCTCCGCTCGAGCGACCAGAAGTCCACTCGAGCGTGAAATGCAAGCTCCAAGAAGATCACATGTTTTGCAGACTACTCGAGCGACAAGAGTTGCGCTCGAGCGAGGACCTGAGTGTAACACCCCAAAAAAAAAAAAAAACATAGATCCAACCAAGAATGAATACAATTGACTACATGAATCAGAGTGTAATGTTCTTTCATTTCTTAGAGTTAATGCTAAGAGTTTAACAAAAAAAAAAAAATGCCCTATGGGATTACATCTTTCCAAGTCTTAGCTTGGTTACAACAAAAGTGAGGCTAGCTCATATAAGTAAAGCCCTAGGCTATGCAAAAAGAATACAACAAAAAGAAACTCTTTCTTCCAAAAGTCCCTCTCAGTTATTGCCTTGGCAGAGACATGTCCCCAACACCTGAAAATGGTTTCCCAAATAGGGTGCGCTAAAGTCTAACAAGAATAATCTAACACAATATATGAGATTTAACAAAGATATAAGTATAATGTACATATATAATGCCTATGATAAAACATTCACAAATTGTATAATCATAGAATACCAAATTTAAATCTTGATCCATTATCCTTCAATTCATTTCAAGTTCATTATTGTTCTCAATTCATGAGTCAATTTCATTATCTTTCAACAACCCAACTGAGACTACAACTCAATGGTTTTCCAATCACAATTAACACACAACACTTCAATCTTCCATTTTACGGATATTTCATCCATGGGATTGGCACCCAAGTATAATTTTGGGACTTTCACCCAAGACACTCTGGCCAACTTAATTTCAATGGAGTCCATCCCCTTTCTCCTCCCAAATAATGGAGTACATGCTCTTTCTTCTCCCAAACAATCATACATATACAATGTATTAAAAAAAAAAAAAAGCATAATCATACAAGGAGTACTTCCCCAATCTCCTCCCAAACAGTCATACATATACAATGTATTTAAAACATAGTCATAACCAATGACAACTAACAATGGATTAGTTTTAATTCACCTAATCCTCATGCAATTTCTATAACAATCATAGCTATCCTCCACCGATGGCCCAATACAGTTATTTCTAAACAGATATTCAATCTCAAGATAGATAGTTTATTCAATAATTTCCAAAGGATGTGAGATAATACATATCCAATTCCACTATTCATTTCAATATTCGCCCAATTTTATATTACCAATGTCAATTTCAATTATTTATACAAAATAACAATTTGATCCAATTAGGGCAAAATTTCCCCCTTTTCCCAAGTAACAACCCAAGTACCAAAATTAACAATTTTGACATAACATATAGTCATATTCAAACCCCATACCCATTTATTTCACATTCATCAAAAATCTCTCTTTCCATTTCACACCCAAACCCTAGGTTTGTTCAAACTAGTCCCAAATCCCACCATTGTTACACAACGACAAATAACTAAGCTAAAAACTATATGAAAGTGTAGAAAATCCTTACCTCAAAGCAAAGGTGAAACTCCAAAGATGCTCAAACCCAACTTTGTTCGGATCAAAATGAAGATCTAGAGACGCTCTACCTTTTTAACAAAGGGATTAGGGTGAAGAAATCACTAAAACTAGGTGAAAATATATATATATATATATAGAGAGAGAGTGTGTGTGTGTGTTTTAGAGAGAGAGTGTCTCAACTTTAGGTTTTAGGGAGAAAAGATCTGAAAAAGTGATGTAAAAAGTCATTTTCG